AGTGGTTTGATAATAATAATTTAACCCTACAAGGCTCAATTTCTTTTTGGTTGTGGAAAAGATATATGTGATGTAATTAGTTATTAGTAGTTAGGAAAAAATATATAAAAAAATAATAATCCAATATTTTACCAGAAAATCATTTTTTTATTTCAGTTCCATATATGGTACACTGAGCCTTAACTATACTATTTGGTACTGAAATACAATAAACATAATAATTAGGAAACAGTATCTTATATTAATTATGACGAGCTTTTTTATTTTATAATTATTAGTATAATAAAGATATACATTACAAAGTCTGAAACAAAATGAAACAAGAAACAATTATGTTTAAAAAAGCTACATATGAAACTTTCAGAAACAATTATTATTTTTATTCATGCAAAGTTCTGCGTGACAATTCTCACAAGAAATTAAGTCTTCCTTTGCAACCAGGCTATTTATATCTTTGTCTTTTTTCACCCCAGACCGGAAAATGCTCAAACCCTTCACTTCTGACGTTACAAGGAGGTAGGATTGCAGTATTGGGCTTCTTTCTTTTCTTCACAATTTCTTCAGACGCAGAAGCCCAAACATGTCACTTTTGTCTACCTCAAATTTGAAATTCTTTTGTTTTAATGGAACTCGCGTATTATTCTGTTCCCCAACTCTTTTGTACAATAACCAGCTATTGATCAAAGAAGTATCAAGAAGATGATAAAATAGTCTCAACCACAAAAAATATCGAAGGGGTGTTTCAAGGTGTATAATTGGTGACTGTAAACTTGTGTCTCCAGTAAACGGAAAATGAGGTGAATGAAAAGTTGTTTTTCTCCAAATGAATCTCCTTTTATTTCTTATGGCAACAGACGTAGAACCAAGGGTTTTAGTTGATGATCCCCCAAATGCCCGTGATTGTGTAATGGTACTTGTAGTTGTCCCTGATGTGCTAGACTGCAGGTCTGATATTTCAGGCCTTCACAACATGAACATCCTCATTGGCAGGAGACAAAGATAGTCTTTGCTGTGGTAATGAAGTTTCCTCGTCGCTAAGTAATTTCGATATGAGCTTTTGGAATAATTGTAACTTCCAGCGTCAGAAAATCCTCCTCATGTTCACTCCCAGAAGGGATATTCAAGAAATCTTCAATTTCTTCACTACACAATCCTCTTTGCGGCATAATTTATAAAAGACAATAAAATAATAGTAATTATTTGGCGTAAGTATCTGTAGGCGTCTTCATGGTATAATTGATTAATATGAATTGTTGAAATAATCTACTTGACATTGTTAAAATACTTGATGTTCCTATAATGATTTAGCTGGCATGATGATTTAGACCTCAGTAATTTAATGGTAACCTCATCAAACATTTCATAAATGGTAAAAGTCATACTGAGTGTAACTTTCTAAGTTTAGGACCAATAAATAATCTCATTTGATTTGAAATAACGATGTGAGAAAAATCTTTAAACTTTGCTATACTAGAAGACGTTTATTCTTAACTTAGCTGCGTTATCGTTTTGTTCAATTTTTTTTGCGTAAATATCAGTTATCGATAAGTTTTGTATCAACTTTGTCCAGCCACACTGTAGAAGGACGTTGTGATAATTACACAACTGATAGACATTCAGCCGTGCAAATGAATGGCGATATTCTATTATAGGGCTAGCCTCCTGTACAATTATGCCTAGCCTTATGTACAATTATGTATTGTACACATGTACCATACATAATTGTACAAAAATTTTGGCAACACTGCCACATTAAAAATGGTATAGTGGTGGTTTTTTCCGTTTCCACCCTCTCTCCCTCACCGACCGCGCTTGTTTAATGTACGCATTTAAATTATCCTCAAAATAAATAGTTACTGTGCTAACATCGGTATTTTTTCTATTCAACGAACCAGCTACAATATACTTATAAGTCTGCTGCTATAACTGCTCAACTCTACGACTATTAAATTCATTTGTAATATAGTTTAAGTAGTATAATTGTTAGTCAACTTTTGCCATTGGCATTAGCATTAAGTCCGCCTCTTTTACCAATTCAATTGTCAACAACGTTTGTTAAATAAATAAATAAAATTTTGAAAATTTCGTTAGTGAAAAAAATTACACTGAAGCATAAATTGTACTGTGGCGTAAGTCTATATAATTTTAATTATGTTTACATTAACTATATTGGAAGAACTTGGCAAAGGACATTGCTCAAATTCCATACATTGGTGGCCTCAGAGCCAAAAAAATATAGGAAAATACTTATTTTATTGTGTGTCACTAACTAATTCTCATTATGTATTTATTATACCGCGACCGAGTTTTAGAACTTATTATCACGCAAAATATAATTCATTTTGAGTTTATAATAAACCACCAAGAGATGGCACTCTAAGTACTTGATATGATATTGATGTCTATATTGTCGAAGCAAAAAAACTCAACTTTAAGTAAGTCGGTTTTTCGTTGTAATTTGTAAAAGTTTCTAAGTCAATCAATAGACAAATAAATCATTCTAATAGTTAAATAATATACCTATTGATAAGCTTAAAATTAAAAAACCTATAGCTTTTTGATGGTTTATATCAAAAGATGGCGCCTTAAATACATAAATGACATGATGTTAATATGTTTACGAGAAATATAAAGGTAATGTTATTACATTAGTAACAAAGTAGTTTTTAGGATATGTCGTATGAATATCAATCTTTCTGAATAAACAAGAGTGAATTATCAACAGTTAATGAATTTAGTTTGTATAATATTAAGTTTTTATGTCCTTATGTTTTAGTTGGAAAATCACCAAGAGATGGCGCATTTACTAAATTTAAGTTTATTTTCGGTCAATTTAATTTAATGTTTTTGTGTTCGATGATTTAAAGGTTATCTAATAAAAATAAATGATCTCCTTGATCTGACGTGTAAATTACATCCATCTGACTCAATAGAATTTAAGTATATTGAATGTGAATATTTGCGAATAAAAATGTTACTGTTAAAGTACTTTTAAATATTAATTTTGGATCGCAGCTTGTCCGTGTCAAATAAATATTTGATTCCAATTTAATAAATAAATTAGTAATTATTATTGAAGTATTAATATTTAATGGTATTGGGGCCATTTTCGGCGATGTCCTTTGTATGGTACCTAACTGAACATTTTTTTCACCACATACACTAATGGGTATACAAAATACAATATTGTTTATTTTCTTTATGTAATATACTTATACAAAATTATCATTATCTATTGATCAAACAGTACCGCATTTCCACCGGCTAACTCGTAATTATTTTCAAACGAAAAATAAATCAAAATACACATGTTTAAGAATCTTATACAGGTAAAAAATGGAATGGGTGCACAAAATATAATATTGTAGTCCGGTACTAAAAATCATACTCACGTTTTTCTCTCTCTTTGTTTTAGGCCACTAACATCGATGATAAATAATAACAGTGGCTACATTTGATATTCCTGCTGTACACGGAGTTTGATGATCGAATTTTGAAAAACTTGTCTTCTGTTTGTTCATTAGTAATAACATTTATGTGACATTTTCTTTCTTTTTCGTAGACATGAAAAAAATTTGTGCTTTTATAATTTGTCCTGCATATTACGTGTTTTGGAAATTGAAGTTTGTTAATTGGTAAGGCAAATTAATGTTTATATTATATGCTGAGAAGCTGTAAACGTAAGTACCTAATCTTATTAGAATTTATTTTGAAGTTCTTCATCAGTTACAGTTGATGATTTTTTGTCTTTCAATACATCAACATATTACATTTTGAATGTACTTACATATTCGCCTCTTTGGCATTAAGTTCGCCATTTGTTGTATTACAGGCAAAAAAAAGATTGAATAAATTAAAATAAACCAGGAATAATGCAACCTGATGATAGAGCCGGTCATCTAGTATTTATTGTCGAGAGCGATTAATTAAATTACTATCATAGTCACAGCCACAAATAGATGCTTTAACGTTAACCAGAGTAAGTAATAAAATGTTCACCGAACACCAAAACATTGGCAACTAATGGGATACAGTTTGTTTATTCTATACTTTTTATAGCCTATACAAACAAGCTGAAGAAATTGTCGTTAAATCTGAATACATTTGGCTGTTCCATTTGTTGAAAATGAGAACGGGGAATGCGCTCGCGTTATACAATGTGCCGGTGCATAATGCGCCACGAATAGAAAACACATTTTCTGAATGGGGTGCTTTTTAAGAAGATTAAAAAGCGACTCTACTTTTAGAATTTTGTGCATTACTCCGATTTCTTTTGGTATACTTTATACACTAGCTTAAGTATAATATACTTTGTGTTTCGTTCGTCACAATGTGTTTTGAATTATGAAAATAATAACTACAAGTTGTAATATGTATATAAAAATTCAGAACTTTCTTCACATCGATATGTTTTTTAATCTGTTTGATACAAACGACATTAAAGGCAGAATAAAAAAGTATCCGAACAATAAAATCAATGAAAAATCCTTAAACAATCCACTTTGCAAAATTGATCAAATGTAATAAAAAAAACTCAATAAACAAAGGAAAAATATCTTGATGCCCGGTTTACAAAGTAGCATATTATATTATAAAGTAGCTTTCTTGAACAAAAAAAAAAACAATTATTTGACACTTCGCGGATTTTGTATGCAAGAATGTAGTTATTGAAGCAGTAAAAAGTATGTAAGCATTATATTGCAGCCATTGTTTTGTTATTTTATTTGTAAATCCAAGAATTTCTCCACCAATATGTTAGAAAGATTAGTATTATAAATTAATTAATTTTTAACTGAATTAAATATTAATCAATTTATTAATATCTTAGAGATATTAAAAATATGTACCTAACTAAGGTTATGTCAGAGTTAATGATCTAGACAGCTCTACCCAGAGCAATGAAAAGACACAAAGGAACATTGAATATAAATTACTATAAAATGAAATTTTAGTTACAGAGTCACAACATGGATACTAGCTTTATACTAAATAAAATGTACCTCATTTCTGAGGGGTAGCACGGCTCTGCATAGCGACAGGCGCCTTATTAGAGGCACTTCTGATCCCATGGACTGTGCCGTCGTACATGCTGTGCGATACTCCCTAATACGGACCAGCTCCCCCACGACTGACCAAAGGATGCGGCTACCATCTACGCCAGATATCACGCAGCCATTAACAAAATTACATAGCTATCGCAATGAACTTTGTGTGCTTATAAGTTTCTATAGATATAAACATACAACACAAAGCTTGTTTCTAATGCGTAAACGTCTATCAGTTTCAAGCTTGCTTGTTTCAAGCATCCTACGTCGCGTCGGAACGTTGTCGAGTCACGAAGAGGTCGATCGAAGACAACGATGGTCCATTATGTAATAAGGCGCTTCGTTGTTTGCAATTAAGAAAGCATCTGCCTACTGGCGCAATATTTAAGCGGTACCATTACTACGTCATTTTGAAAGCTACTTAAATAGAAAAAGTAAAGACTAACCGATGGAGCATCAGAGCAGTCAGATGCGCAACAACCGACCGTCGGTGACGGGTCGCCCACACAACCGAATTAACGAGGGTTCAGTCCTTCCGAAGGTGGCACGGTGAGATAACCCGGGTAACGTCGACAATCGTCGTGTTAACTTTACCTATGTATCGTCATGTACTGGCAGAGGACGGGCGGGGGGCGCTAGCCGGTGCGCGTCGCGACTCCGCACGACAAAGCGCGGGACAGCACGCGGCAGGCCTGCTCTACTAGACGGCGAGCGGCGGGCGCAAGGTCGCCGGATACTTTACCTAGCGGCGGCGCGGCGAGGTGTGGGGCGAGAGTCGGAGCGGCGCGAGTATGCGGGCGTCGGGCGGCGGGCGCGGTCGGTCGCTGTCGCTGCGGTCAGCGGTCGCAGCGCGGCGCGGCCATCGCGGCGGCGCGGCAGGCGGCGGCGACTCGCGCACTGCCGGCGCGACGCCGCCCGCACCCCGCTGGCCCCGGCCGCGCCCGCCCGCTCCCGGGCCCGCGCACGCGCCCCACACACAACCCCCCTCTCCACTATACTCCCCCGCCCGCCTACTTCACCGAATTGATCAGCCGGATCCTCGATTGCAATGAAATTTATGACAGGTCGTGGATCTATTATCGACGTGATACCTACCGACCGAGCCGCCTATTATTCGCAGGCTCGATAAAAGCTGAGATTGGAAATGGATTAGGTGACTGAGATTAGATACCTATACAAGGCCCAAATTATTCTAAGCCTGAATTTGTTATTTTTGTTATTTACTTACTTGTATCACTCAAAAATTTATATTTTTTTATGAACCCTGATAACACCGACTTCATATGCAACATCAATTTTTCTTTGTTGGTAAATCACCCTGTATTTTCTTGAGTATCGAATTTTTCCGATCTGGATAAAATAATATTCCAATTTAATAATATAACGAGCTGTCTGCTAGCGGTTTTGCCCGCATGAGCAAAGCCTTCTTTCAAAAAACGTTCAACCCCAATTTCACACCCTTAGAAGTAGAATATCCAACAGCCCTGGAACAAGTATAACAGTAAATTATAATCAGTTAACTGTATTCTGTGGTAGTGCAAAAATAAATGGTCTCTATCATCAGAAACAACGAGCTTTCATACAAAGTTTTAACCCCTATTTCGTTTTCTTGGGGTAAAATGTCAATAATCACTGAAATAAGTATTTACTAATTCCTAATTTGTAAGTAACCCAAAAATAAAGTTTAATATTTCTAAAATAAAAGATGTCGGAATTGCATAAAAACATTCAACCCCTATTTCAATCCTTTAGGGGTAACATTTCCACAAACGCCAATATGGAAAACATACAACTCTTTCGTTTGAAATGTCAAATATAATAAATTAATCATATACAACATCACATACATTTTTCAGATTCCAAGATGAGTAACAAAAACCCCGTATTATGGAGTATCTGAGACAACAAAGGTACCACAACACCCAGACCCGAGACAATATGGACAAGTTAATTTTCTACATTGACCCGACCGGGAATCGGACCCGAGATCTCAGATATAGCGACACATTGAAACCAGCGTGCGAACTCGGCTACGGAGGTCGTCAAAAGAAAGATGAAAGAGCTTATGCTAACTACAACTTTCGACGGGTTTAACTAAGTCTTTAATAAGTTTCTTGATAATTTAAATCCTGATTCGTTGCGATCGATACCTTATTTTTTAAATTAATAATATGCATTGTTTTATATAACCTCTTTAACTGCTTAAGACCTACTCAATCGGTATCTAAATAATGTAAGTTTTATTTTTCAAAACGGCCGGGTTCGACTCATGAAGTGAGAACTAGTATTTTTTATCAATAATAATTATTAATTAGGCTTAAATAGGTTTAGGTTTAATATTACTTATCAAATATACAGTGCCGAATCAACGAAATTTAGCGCCCTGGGCCAAACACTGGAACTTCGCACTGTAAGCAAAATACTGGAACGACGCCCATGATAACCACAACAATATAAAAGGGTTTAATTTTGCCATGACAAAAGATACTACATACGTAGGGGACTGACGTTCAAGGATTTTTTTAAGGTACTTCATTTTTAAGTTTCGAATAGTTACATAGCAAACAATAATTTGTTTGTGCCCTAGGCAATAGCCTAGTTTGCCTATACGGACGGATCGGCCGGTTCATAAATAATTAATTTTCCATTCCCAATGTGGGTTCGTCGAGTTCCATCTCTTGTTGCCTGGAGATGGTCACTTTAATTACTTGATAATTATGTAGAGAACTGTGAACAGCATGAGCAAAAAGTGACGATCTGTTGCATCGCTAGTCAACCATAAAGAATTCCATTGCCATTATTGTTTTGCAATAACTGTACACTCGCAGCAATTTGTGCGTTTTTTACTCCACAAAATGACTGCATATTAATATTGACGTATTATAAAATAAAGTCTCTACCCGCTGAGCTCTGCGCTGAGATCTTTTGACACCACGAGAGAGAAACACAACGCATTTTGATACGGTTTTTCGTTAGAGTTATTCAAGAGGAAGTTTCATACGTAATACGAGTTTAAATTGGTAATACGGGACCACGTCGGCGCAGCGGCTGGCGGAAAACTTCAGTCCTATACATAAAAAAAATAGAATAAATAAATTACGCATACATAAAGAAGACGTAATTACTTGATATTATTTTATTCAGAAAACTAATTGAAAGTTAGTAGTTTTTGGTGTAAACATATTCTTCAATTGAATTGGAAAAAAAAGTACGGCAGTTTTTTTTAGCATAGTTGTTACCTACAAAGGAGTGAATAAAACCTTCACAATTTTTCATCAAACAGTGATTCTGATAAGGTTGTTTCTCGTTTGATTGTGACGACTCGTTTCGTGACACGCGAACTAACGGTTCTAGCATTAGAACTCACAAATCAGGCTATTTGATCGATACTATCAAGTCATTAGCTTTACCTGACTCAGATTATTTAGTCGCAGCTTATTTCCAGATCAGTTTTCATAAACCTGCAATGTTATATTTCGTATTCTCTTTATTTTAATGAAAATTGAAAAGTATTTATGGTTGTCCCGCTGTTTTCTGGGCTTGCAATAATTTTATAATATAAACTATGTTTATAAAATACGAGGTGCACTTTATGGTGCTCTATCTAAATTACATAGCTTGTTATTCTTTTTTATAAAAGTTAATTATTTGTTTGTTAGAGTTTTTGTTTTCCCATTTTCAATGAAATTGTAATGGCAACACAAAAAAAAGTTAAATCGCACCAAAAACATTTTTATGTAAAATATTGCTAAGACGACCGCGTAGCCCGCATCATCAAAAAGTTTTAGATAATATGTAGAGCCTAACTTCTGACTCTACATGACTTGACTTTACAAGCCTTCACCAAACACACGTCATGTTAAAATGTGTAGACGTATATTTACTACTGTAGCCAAACTGCCAAACCACATGTTTTGACTCAGGCTTTTCAAGTCAAGGCACATAGAATGAAAATCTTGGCTCTAAATACTCTTCGCTACTAACCATGCTAACAACGATTTCAAAAATTTTTGGAAGAATACTGGCAGGTTAAATGCAAGGCTGAGTCTCCTGGCAAGCATGGCAGGCCTTGTCGATCACAGATATTGCGGATGCTTTTCTTCTTTCAGAAAAAAAAACATTTTTCCGTGCCATCGCCCTAGAGCGCCTTATCTCGCATCGCAGCGGATGCTGATGCTATAGTGACGGGCAGACCGTAAAAAATCCAGCGAAAACAGTGGCCAAAATTATGTGGCTAAAAGTATGCAACGCGAAAAGGAGCCGAGTCATGATGTTCTCAGCAGTGAGCATCTTAAGTATGCGGGAGCCCACCGCCTAGGTGTTATTACTTTTTTTCACCCTGTGCCTCGGTCACTCTTACTCACCAGAGCCACATATGAGAATTGTCCCTATTATTAAGATTAAAACCGGTAACGCTTCAGATATTGCAAACTATTGACTGATCTCGCTCACTACCATCACGGTTAAGGTGCTTAATGGCAGCTTCTCGGTATATAAAAAAATACATGATGTTCGGGTTCAAAGAGGGAGTTTCAATGGATAGTGCCATTATAAGTCTAAACACACTGTAATGTATTACACAGCAAGAAGGACGGTATATGTGACAGTAATATAAGCTATGCCGATGACATGGTAATGCTCTGCCCGTCGATAGTGGGTTAAAGCAGTTGCTGCGCATCTGCAAGATGTATGCTATGGAACACGGTCTTAAATATAACTCAAAAAAGAAAGAAATTATGGTGTTTAAGGCTACTAAACAACAGCCTCGTATTGTTCCACCAGTGCATCTCGACGGCGTAGTGCTTAAATTGGTTGATAGTTTTAAGTACCTGGGTCATATTGTCACAAGTGATCTAAGGGATATATTTGTTTTAAAGAAATAACGAAATTTTACCTATGTAGTTACTGCCACAAGTAAGTAGGTAAAATTTCGTTATTTATATATTTTTAAATACTTTTTAAAAAGCATTTAAAAATATATTTATATTTTTATCGTGATTACCTTTATCCCACCCAGAAACGAAATAATTATGGTTCAAAGTCGAATGAGTGACATCTGCCGAATATTTGCTATGTTTAGTATAATGTACCACCAGCACATGATACTAGGGAAGTTGTTGCTGTTTGTGTGTGGTATTCGGCAGGCGTTACAAATTTGACTTAGACACACAATTATTTGAATTCTGGTATTTTTCAAATTTGACTATGACCCCTAATTATTTGAATTCTAAATTTATCACCACATCACAGTATTCCTTCACAAAAGTATGACTAGAATATTTGATTAGAGCAGTCTGAGCGTTAACATACGTAACTTGGCCTTCGTTCCCATTCGTTTCTATTTCGTAACGGACTGATGAGGAAATATTAAAAAAAATAATAGTTCCCGAAATCTTGATGTCGCTATGGTACTGTCTTGTTTTTTTCGTGACAACCCTTACAGTTTTCTTTCGTGTATACAAATAAATTAATTTTCAAAACTCAATAAACAACTCATATTCTATTTGTACTTTTTCGTATTTGTATTGATATCTTAGTTTTGAACTTTGCAAATTTCAGTTTTTTCATATTTATATCTTTGGTCCATATATACAAAAAATAAACTTTTGGTAGAGTTGCCATCTAGTGAGGCGCTTTTTTTAGTGCTTTCTTTTTTTTCTTACTCTTTAAAAGATTTGCCCTGCGATTCTGTAAAATCCAAATTCACTTCAAAAAGGCTCAACCCTCAATGAGTAATAACGTTTTGTGGCATAAGTAAATTGAGTTTCGAAATGACATAGCACTAGAAAGTCTAAGACACGTGTAATTAATTAATCGGTTTTGTTTTGTATTTTTATACAAAAAATGCAATTAATAGAATTTCTTCACTAAATGGCGTGAATTCGGACACATGAGTGAATTCGAATTCGGTTTCGAATTTTTACAGAATCTCTCTGCTGATAGGTCAAGAATTCATTTTTAAAATCCAAGAGGGTGGCGCTGATAGACTGACGGACGCGTCAATGACCGCTTCCCGTTTTCACGTTGTTGATCACTGAGACGAACTTATTGAATATTTGCTTTTTTATTGAAATAAAACTCGTTTTTTTTACTATAGCGTACAGAATCATCCAGGTCTCTACATATGGTGTGAAACATAAAATAAACCTATGGTGAAAACATATATTATTCATGGAGTCTTATTTATTAAAACAGAACCACGTGTGAAGCATTTTATAATACTAGATGACACATGTTGCCAATTTTCTTAATATTTGATCCACCGAGTATTTCCTTTCCTACAGTAAGGTATTAGACATCATTGCATATCCACATCCTGGTCACCTAGTTCTTTTTCGACATTTCTCAATTTTCAACTTCGACACCACGAAGATAAGGTAAGTGTAGACTAGAATATAGAGGAACAAGTGCTTGATATATTGCGTAATGTAGAAACTAATTTAGGTCTTTTTGTTAGTGCAGCTACAATAAACTTCTTGATAATGTAACAGCGTTTAGTCCGAACAATTTAGTATGAAATAACATTAGATGTCAATGTAAGGAAATACAATAAAACTAGTACATTATTTTGAAAATTTATTTAATATTAAATAATAGCAATACAATGTTGTGTTTTACTATAATAGATTTTCTTAACAAATAATATATTTTAGCGGAATGCTAGAATTACGCAAACACCATATCTTTAAATATTTTATCACAAGTTGAACATCAGTATACTTAATAAATATTTTTAAGTATTTTATTAACGTAAAAATAATAAAATAATCACGCTCAAGCCCTAGATTTATCAGACTTAATATATTTGTCGAGATCGGCATCGCTTTTGGGGTCCACTTGCGACAGTTGCCTGAAACTTTCGTCGTCTACGAAGCAAATCTCGTGGCCATCGGGGTCGGCCAGGATTATTACCCGGACGGTCGCCTTCCCTGGCGTGTCCAGGGATATCAAGGGAGTTAGAATGGTGCCATTTGCTTCTTGAATTTTTTTCTCTATAATTGGCTGTTGATCGAAGGGGCAGGAGAACGCGATGCGACCGTACGCCTTGGCGCGGTTCACTGGTTCACCTACAATGAAACGTCGAATATAATTATAATCGAAATTAAAATCGTCGAATAGAAATCCTTTTTTACTTAGGCGTCATCCTGTTCTTAATTAATCGTGTAACACAATTAAAACACAATTTAATAGCTGTTATAACATAGTATATGTGAAACTTAAAGGTATAAAAATAAATTAATATATTGAGGGTACATTATAAAATCGGATCATATTGTGGTTTGTGTGCTTTAAAAGAAAATAAAAATGTAAACTTTATTTTGACGCTATATGTCAAGACTTTATTATTTAATAGATTCAAAGATACCAACTCAGACAAGCACAGTGCCTTAGAACAATCTTGCTACAAAATAAAGGTATAAATAAAATAACAGCGTCATACAGAAATCTGCTTCATAATAAATATGTGACTATTTAATGCTAATCTGACACCATGGCAGGTCTGTATTAGGTCACGTGATATAGAGACAAAAACTCTACTTTTAACTTGATTAATATTATCTCACGATAAATTTTAGATTCCGCGCATTTCGTGACTTCTTTCTCACTTACGAAACTACCCATTCTATTCAGCCATCAGCCTGTGACGCTCACGTTAACTTTGAATCTCATCTCGTCATTTCACTCGCTTCATTACCAGACGTTTGTGCGCCTGGATATACCTTAATGACTGACGCACGTCATCTGGATATGCTTTTCTACTCACCAATTTCAATAAGCTCCAATTTTGCTTGATCGTCACTGAAACCAAGCAATACAGATTTATCCTTCTTCTCGAAGATCTTCAATGTCAGTAGTCCGTTCCAGTAGGCAATAGATTTTGCTAGATTTGAGCTTGCTAGAGACACTTTCACGACTGGATCTGTAACACATACTCATCCATTATCATCCACCCTATTAACGTACCCACTGCTGGGACACATGCCTTCCCTCTAGATGGAATTGAATCAAAATAGGGAGAACCATGGGTCATCACGCTTGCCGAGTGCAACTGGTTAACACCTGTTAACGACTGCAAGCGCAGCCGAGAATAGCGACTTAACGTGTCTTCCGAAGTATGTAGGAGCTCGAGATAATAATTTTTTGGTCACCCATCCTATAACCAGCCACTGCGGAAGTTGCTTAACAACTAAATCGCGAACGCGTTACCCACTGCGGTGTCGAGATCTACACTATCGAGTTATATATAAGTCAACTGCTATAGTAGTCGAAGCAAAAAGCACATCGAGGAAGCAAAAGAGGCGTGTAATAAATCTAGTCTCTCTGTCTATCTACCTCTGCAAGAAAACCGGTAAAATATTATTATTTACCATAGTTAGGATTCCGTACCTCAAATGGTATAAAAGATTCCTTATAGGATCACACGTATGTCTAGACTTACTAGAAATAGAAACACAATATGACTGAAATCAACGAATCCAAAGTTAAATTTCAACCCCACAACCGCGATTATTGTGTGCCTTTATCATTTTCCAATGACAAACAAACAATTATAGCGAGCGACTTTTTAGCACATTATCCACGAATCCTGTGAATTACAGATATGTGGCGCAATGGTTACCTAAACAACTTTGGCAAGGACTGATCATAGGATGGGTGACCGAAAATTTTAAGACGTTAAGCCGTCAGTACCGGCATCTGCAGTCATTAAGGTCACCAACCGGACAGCGTCGTGGTTTCTGGTCTGTTGTCCCTATTTTGATAGTATCCCTGTGAAAGGCATGCTTATAGGGAAGGACGTAGATGCCTATCTATTAGCCTTAATGATAATAGCACACAAATCAAATTAAACTAAAAACCATAACACCAGTTACGTTTATTGAAAATTATGAAAAAATCCATATTTCTAGACAAGTAAATTGTGAACACAAAATATGATCGAAAAACTACAGATCTGATTGTATCAAGAATAATTATGATTATCTAAGGCTAGAAAAATGATTAAGCAATTGATTATCAGTGATTGGTTTCGACTACTATTGTGATATCTTTGATTTGATAATTTTTGCTTAGAACCCATATTTAGAATATAATTGCCGATGGGTAAATTAATATGAATGAAGATTATTATTCAATTCTTACTAATCAAATCCATGACTTGCTTGACTGATACGAAATTAAACAGGTCTGTTATCACAATATAAAGAATAATAAGGTCTGAGTGACAATAACTAAATAAAAATTTTGTGTGTTGTGTATAAAGAGGAGCTGATTAAAAAATTATTTTAATTTTTAATGCGTTATATAAAGTCAACAACACAGGACACTTTACAAAACTGTCAAATAAGTCATCGATTTAAACACTAAATTCTCATAAAAATTACAATTCAACATTGATTGTGAGAATTTGACGTTTTGATGTGGGGATTTTTGAAAATGTGGAAATTATGAAAAAAAATCCACTTAAATTTCCACACAGCATCCACTTGAATGCTTAGCAAGACGTAGCCACGTTTACCTGCTTTTGTAGTCTACCATGAATATTCTTTGTGTTAAATCGTGGTAGATACTTAGATTTCAATAAATATGAATAAGTACCTGATATCCGTGACTACGCCCATGTGGTCAAAGGCAAATAATAGGTACTTTTTAGGTAAAAACTGTCTCCTGTTACGATACTACTAATGATACATAAGGATAAATAGATAAAAATCGAGTCAATGTACATATACTACACTAGTGGTTCTGCGGGATAACTACTCGTACAAACGGCTATTAAGGTTTATAATCAAGTGGAATTTGACAGATTTGTATAATTGTGTTCTTAACTGTACATCATGCTTCGACTTTCATTGCCTGACCCATCAATTGTCATGACTTCGTTTTGACGAATACAGGATGTTTCTACGGGTAGTTAGGCGGTAAAGCCGCGAGAACCAAATGTAGTCTTAGCAATTATAAAATAAATCAAGCTACAAATACAAAACAGACTGGCCATAGAGAAATATGGAAATCATTGTCTGACATCAGATAAATAATGTTTGAGAGTGTGAAAGTTCTTATCTGCGAAAGATCATATTATCTGAGATTTGATAAGAGTCTATATGATTACCTTTATCTAATGGCTGCGGCTTGTCAATTATGTAGAATTTGTATCCGCCGGGAGCTTCCACATATTTTATACCATTGTTTTCCTTAACTGGCCAATTGTTTGCGGTTGCCCTCTTCAAAGTCTCAGAAGATTGTATAGTGAGGCCAAGGAAATCATTGCCTTGCTCATAATGTGTAATGCCATAGTTGTAGGTGAGTTCTACAACAAAATGTGTATCTTCTGGCCCATAACCGATCATGGTTTTGCTCCATCTGTTAGCATATGGTCTGAAAATACAATAACATAGCATTTTATTTTTAATTATACATACTATATTCTTAATAAATTAGACAGACTCCATGTACATCACCAATCATCACTATAAGAGGCTTGATGGTGTGTTGATTGGTTTTAACTGTGTATTGCAAAGATCGGTCATCGCATGGGTGACCAAAAATATATTATCTTGAGCACCACCATGTTCTTAAGGCATGTGACATATGCAGCAATTAATACCCACTAATCTATGACTGTGTATTATGATCCATTCTCCTTGTTACAGCCTAGCTTCAATTAGGTGATAACATATTAGTTGAATAAAGCATAAATATATATTTTTTTACAACACAAAGGGAACAAACCCATTGCATGCTGCCTCACAACCTTCGCTGAATTCTTCATGACGGAGTACCTGAAATAGAGGCATCATTGTAACTCATTTATTCATGTTCAACTTTTTTTTATCTAATAAATAATAGTAATTTCTCAATTGTAACATCCACTCAGAATCAATTAACTGAAAAAAGTTTCATATGAGAGAAAAAATTTCCTCCAGTTGTTAATATCCTCCAATTGGGCCAGTGTGGAGGGTTAGGGCCCATGCTCCTTAACCATCCATAAGGAAGGTTTGAGACCCTATAGAGAGGATGAAATAAAAAGCTGATGATGATGATGATATTTAAATTTCACTGTTTAAACTAATATTGCACAATGTGGAATGACTGAAAACAATTCTGCCAATGTCATGTAGGTTACCATTTCACATTTTAAATTACTATTTGTGTATATTCTTTCTCTGAATTAGTATTTGGGCAGCAGGTTTTAGGGTTGGGGCAAATTAAAAGTTCGTTAGTTTAGTCTAAGTAAACCAGTCTTTTAGAAATCTAAAGACATATTTGCATACCTACCTAAATGATATTAGGTCCACCAATTATAATGTGGTGGTACATTTTATAAATGTTTTTGGGAATGGAAATGAGAGACATGAGCATTCGCGAAGTTTAAGTTCTAGTCAATCACTATACATACATTACAGTAAAAGAGTAGTCTAATTAAATTCAAAGTGTATCAACTACAAGCTTACAACTACATAACGAATGCTCACAAATTTTTAAATCAGCAACTGCATTGTGTAATTATTTACAGCAATTTACCGGTTGACGCATTCCAGTCCGGTGACCTTGGTCACTAGTAATGCTTTTAGAATTAAGGTGTTGCAAAAATTACGTTTACGGATCATTGAGAATACCTAAAGCAATAAAAATCTCACATAATACTAAGATTCTCACCTTCATTCCCAAAACATCTCTGTAGAATTTCGCTGTGAGAGTTCTATCAGCAACTTTGAATACAAAATGTAAGGCGCGGCCACTAATCATATTGATAGAAAATTGTTATATTAATAAGTAAAATAAAATATATGAGATTACTGTGTCTGCCAATACAATACACTTTTTATTACAATTTACTAAACGATCTAAAGTTTATTAAGGAAACTTGATGTTCTCTTACATTTACTCAAACGTCAACAACTGACGGTTAGGGAAGCAAACGATATATCGGAGAACTGATACATATCGATAGACAAACGTCCAAACATATCGATTTATATCGATGTCAAAATATCAATATATCGAAATCTAATATTTAATGAAATCCAAAGAGTAAAAGTGTATACTTTTTACCAAATTACATATAACATTTAACGGCTAATCTACACATGTGATATTTGTGAAAGATGAAACAATATTCCCATTCACGTTCAGGATAATTCCTGGAACATAAATGTTACCTTTAAAATGAATGTTTATGAGATATGACAAGAGTTGTAGGGTTTATATCCCAATCTATTTAAAGTAGCAATAAGATATTTCCCATTGAGGAAACAAACGTGCCCTCTCAGTATGTGGGTATTGTATGAGTGTGTGTGTGTGTATGATGAGACACCTATGTCCACCCCCGGGACCCCGGAACTGAGCAACCTGCTAAGGCTTTCATAGTTTATATCTTCGAAATTATTAAACCGATTTTCATGAAACTTTTTGTGTATCCTAAATTAAAAGCTGAGCAATTAAACAACAATGTGAACTTTATTGTAATTTAATATATTTGATCAAATTTGCATTCACTATGCTATACTGAAAAAAATCCTAATGAAAAATGCTTCAAAAAATCCAATTTAAGTACTTTGCATAAAAAATCTTTCTTTTCTAAAATTTTCACTATGCTGAATATTTTTATTAATATAGATCTATATCTATACTAATATTATAAAAGGAAAGATTTGATTGTTTGTTTGTTTGCAATGAATAGGCTCCGAAACTATTGAATTGATTTTAAAAATTCTTTCACCTACGACAAGCTGCATCATATGCGGTGAACATAGGCTATTTTTTATCTCAGAAACAGCAAATAAAAGGATGAAAATGGGAGTGGAAGTTTGTATACGAAATGAAAAATGCTTCAAAAAAATCCAATTTAAGTACATTGCATAAAAAATCTTTCTTTTCTAAAATTTTCACTATGCTGAATATTTTTATTAATATAGATCTATATCTATATTAATATTATAAAAGGAAAGATTTGATTGTTTGTTTGTTTGCAATGAATAGGCTCCGAAACTATTGAATTGATTTTAAAAATTCTTTCACCTACGACAAGCTACATCATATGCGGTGAACATAGGCTATATTTTATCTCAGAAACAGCAAATAAAAGGATGAAAATGGGAGTGGAAGTTTGTAAACAAAATGAAAAATACTTAAAAAAATCCAATTTAAGTACTTTGCATAAAAAATCTTTCTTTTCTAAAATTTTCACTATGCTGAATATTTTTATTAATATAGATCTATATCTATACTAATATTATAAAAGGAAATATTTGATTGTTTGTTTGTTTGCAATGAATAGGCTCCGAAACTATTGAATTGATTTTAAAATTCTTTCACCTACGACAAGCTACATCATATGGGGTGAACATAGGCTATATTTTATCTCAGAGACAGCAAATAAAAGGATGAAAATGGGAGTGGAAGTTTGTATACAGAATGAAAACGTTTCTATAGTAATAATTGTTTACAATTTAATTTGTCATTGTAATTATATCCGTGTCATCGTGTTATGATATGAATTGATATCCAAATGAACAGTTCGCTGGCGGAAAGGTAGTATTATATAAAAAATATTTATTTTATTAAATTTTTTATGAGTAATTATTTTCTAAAATCGATATTGATTCAATTGTCATATCTCTAGTCGTAAACATTGACGTCACGACAAGCGTGCCAAATATCTTCGTTTTTAAAGTTCCCAAAGTTGTTATATTTTTTTTAATGAATATAAGTTATTCGTCATAGGGTATTTTTGAAAATTTATATAAAGATACAAATAATCATAAAGAAATTATTTAAGAAATGCATATTCCCTATTATTACCTGAGTTCGTTTTAGACAGTCGTTTGTCTGGATATCGGGTATCCAGCCAACCTCGGAACTACCTAAGTAGATAGAATTTAAACCCCGGTGAACCGAGCTTTTGTAGGCCATATTTGGCACCCGAACGATTTGGTCTTGAGGCCGCAAGAAAAAATAATCTTTTGTAAAAATATTTAATTTCTTGCCCCAGTTTAATCATTAATAAACAGAAAACGATATAAAATTTGTGACAATTCACTAGAGATAGATGATGTTAGATGTCAAAAATGATTTTAAATTAATTACTAACAAATTTACGTGGGCTCTGTGGCCGAATACGGCATGAGTTACGTACGACTCATGCGACCTATATATCGCATGCCGGTTCAAGATGCTGGCATATACTTTTTATTTTTAAAATATTTGTCAATTAGAATTACTATTTCTGTATTTAGAAATTACTGTTGTGTTTTTCACATAATCTTCTAATAAGATAATGCTGTAGATTTTTGTAATAAGTAAATTAAAAATGGTTGCGTTTTATATTCTGTATTCCTATTTTTTTAATTTTGTATCTATTAAGGTAGGTACAAGTAAAGGAGCATGAAGGAGGGGAGAAATTAATTTAAGGAAATCAGGATACTGCTTGTCTTATTCCCTAAAACAATTTAATAATCAAAATCCATTATTCAATCATTCACATAAAAACTACATATAATTTCATACAGAAATACGGTTAAATATATTTTCTCTTATATGCTAAACTACAATAATAATTTCGTGGGTAGGTAATATTTTTTTTACATTTTCCCATAATATGCAGTAAATATAATATAATCTTATACAAATTTCATACAATATTTTTTTATAATCATAGGTTTTTTTTATTGTTTCTCTCTAATTTCTGTAAATAGTTCTATTTTGTTTGCATATTATGATTCAGGTATTCCGTTTATTCAGGATATGATCGATAGAGAATAGATACATTAATATATAACGTATTACATTTTAAAACCATGATACAGCCAGTGATTTGAATTTCAATACGATTACGAAAATGAACTTTAAATTTTACTAATACGGCGCACCTAATATAAATCATTGAATACATGGACATTAATTTACTGAATGATTAGTATCTGTAACGATAATATTAATATAATATAGTAACATTTCACTGACTAGCCCAATTTACAGACGTGCATTATATGCACAACAACAATGCTTGAAACATAACGCTTAATAAATCTTTAAATAGGGCAATAAGATATAATATATATATAGGTTAGTCTTTGGCCGAAAGGATTAAACTAAAATGTATTTTTTATATAATAAGTTATTTCTTATAAAATCTCTTAAAGTACCAATGAAATTAATATTGTGTATATTTACTTAAAATAAACGTAGCTATAACACGTTATAAAATTCTAAATTATTTATAATGTAGATAAAATTTAGTACCGAATGATATACCTGTTTGTGAATTTTAAAAGAAAATAAGGATACGTTTTTCAATTTATCAATATTATTGATATCTTAGACACCCTCAAAATTGACTATCATTTAATAGAAAACAAGCTTGGCAAGTCTAAATAGAATAAATACGTCAGCAAATTAATTTTAAATTTCGAAAAGTACAGATTACATTTAAATCTTAAGATTTGCTTACTTAATAAATCAGTATATAAAAACTTTTCGAAATTTAAATCCAATCCAATCCAACCCAACTCAAGTGATAGTTAATTGTTGCCAGTTATCTAATAAAATTGTAAATAGACCATCTTGTGGTTATGCTTTATGAAAATAATTAAGTACACAATGTTAAAGCTGTATAGAAAAATAAATCATTAAGTACATAATTTTTGTTACCATCTTACTTAATAATCGCATAATTTTGGGCCCTACGTCAAAAAAATATGTATATTCTAATGCGAAAAACAAGTCTATTTACTTTGTCTTTCGTTCTATCATACCGTTTAACTTTAGATTTTATATATTATTAATATTATTCTGATAATTGTTGTGCTGATGTCAAGGTAAATAAATACATTACTTAGATGTAATTAGCGATGGCACTAAAAATTGTATTTAAAATTTCCTCCTATATCAATTATAGTTCTAAATGTAAAGGATATCGTTATATAAAAGATGCCAAACCTAAAAACAAAGCAAGCTATAAGCATAACTTAATAGACATGCAGTGTCTAGATAAGGAATCTCGATTGAAATTATTGAATATGCAATTGAAATTTATTGACATGTGATATTTAAATTTTATGAAAATGCGAGGTTCCTAATCTAGAGCTTTGACAAACAGACATCTGCTATGGTTATTAATAAAATTAAACATTGTTATGTAGCGAGCGTTGTGGTATTCAATTGTTAGGTTTCTCTTTGTCGTTGCCCTCCTTTTCTTTTTCCTTTTCTTTCTCTTTTTCCTTTTTTTCTTGAAGTTGTTGTAGATGAGCTGGTAGTGCTTTCAATATAGCGTGTACCTAAAGTGAAATCAATATTTTTTATTAAAGAAAATGCATAGATAGTTTTAACGTTAGTTCCGTATACTATAGTCAGTTCTACGTCAGCAAATTTAGCTATAGGTAGATTTAAAATAATATCTAGAAACATTTTATAGAGCAAAATTTATATTCGAAGCAAATATAAAGATTCTGCCAAGTCTCACCTCTTCGGCTACAGCCATGAGAACGAACTCGAACTGTTGTTTAGTTGCAACTGTGCGCGTGCGTTGGTCTCGGATGTGCTCTAGGGTTGCCGCTATGTCAATTTCCTTCGCACCTTTCGCCATACGATTCAGGACCATATCGATCAAGCAATAGGTTCCAGTACGCCCAGCTCCATCACTGAACAAGATGAAATAGAATAAAATATTTACATTACGCAAATAGACGCAGGTACATCGTTATTAAAAATAGTGCAGTATAGTTATTTCAAAATGCAGTTCTTTTTTATCAGTTTGTCAGAATTGCTGGACTCATAAAGTATTATTTCCTTAGGCTTCTCAAGGTTCATAAAATTGAAAATGAAACAGCCAGTGTGTTGTTATAGTTAGTGCTAAATTTATTTACTAAATAATAGGAGTAAACAAGATGATAAGACAAAATATTTATTAGTTAAGCTCTACATGACCAGAACTCTCTAACTCTATATCCAGCCGTCAATGCGCGTTGCATGTTTAACAATGCTGGATCACTTTTTACATCTATTATGATGATTTACGAGTTGAAATGTGTTACCATCACGTTAGAAAGTTTGACTGTAGTAAATATTACAGTAGCTCGATTAATTTTCGTTCCATAGTCCAATAATAACATTATACTCAGACGTGATATTAGCTCCTCTAGAAAGGATCATGAGTACCTACCATGTAATGTGATGTGATGTCATTGATATATCGCAATCTTTATAATGATACACCTACTATCTTAGATTACAACGTCACGTATGTGATAATAAATAGTTCTTCTGATATTAGTACATAGTTCCGGGCACCATACGATATAGATGTCTGGGTACCTTTGATTTATATACTTGTCTTATTATTCAAGCTGAAAACGTATTTATTATAGCATGGACGGACAAAGTACTTCTACAAATGATTGTAAAGCAAAAGAGTTTTTTTAGTCAGGATACGATAGTAATAATATATGTAAGTCAAATATATAGCGATTTGAATGATATAATACCTGCAATGTACCACAATAGGACAGGATCGACCTCTGTACGATTTGTTCACCTTCCTGGAACATAAATTGTTTAATTTTCGAATAAATCACTAGCTAAATAAACTAAATTGTGTAGGTGAGGTAAGAGAATATGTGCATTTCGGCGATACCAAAGAAACTATGTGATATGTAGATCTTGACCTTGATTGACTTTAGTCAAGGTACACTTACCACGGAGGGCGTATTACACGGTGCTGTTAGTAATGCTAGTTAAAGCAACGTGTTAACATCAAAGAATTTACTTGGAACCATAATGGTTTTACATAACGGAGTTTGATTAACGAGACGTGTTGACTTAGATGTTCTTTAAATATTTACCTCCGGAACTCTAGTAGCGCCTTTGTAGATGATGGTACACCGTTCTCGGGCCAGGAGAGGAAATGGAACTGAGTGACGGTGCGCGTTTCGCCCGTGCGCTGGTTCTTCAAGTAGAAACTCCTCACTAGGTAGTCATCACACCAGATATGTTCGCTCACTAGATGCACCTATCATATTAATTTATCAAAAGTTTAATCATCATCATCAGCCCTTTTACGTCCCCACTGCAGGGGCTCAGGCCTTCCTTATGGATGGTTAAGGAGGATGGGCCATGACCCTCCACGCTGGCCCAATGCGGATTGGAGAGTATTAACGAGTGCAAATGCAGCCGGGACCAACGGCTTAACGTGCCTTCCGAAGCACGGAGTAGCTCGAGATAATAATTTTTTGGTCACCCATCCCGTGACCGACCCTTGCGAAAGTTGCTTAACGACTACGATCGATTAAAGTAGAATTACTGTCATTAACAGTTCTTCTTAAGATAGGCTAATACTAACCAATGATCAATAAACGGTAAGAAAAATACGACAAAACAATATATAATTTTAAATATTCTTCAGGCCCGAATCTACATCGAACTATCGAATTTTTAAAATATGTTTTTGTGGAACTCGTACTTTTTTTTAACCGTATTATTATAATGATGACTTTGGCGCCCGAAGCATAGCCCCCACTTGCCTTCCCATAGATCCGGCCCTGATATTCGTATATGCAGTTTTCGAAATGTATTTATTATAAATACAGGAATATTTTTTTTCCAGTGCAAAAATTTTTTTTGGTGGTTCAGTATCAGTAATAGAACACTTTTCCATAATTAGTTAAATTTTTTTTTTTAAATATTTTTATCCCTATCGAAACGGTGGAATATGGACACATTTTTTAAAATAAAACTTCAATGAAAACGTCTTCTCTTGCGTATGCCACCGTGCAACCCCGCCGCGCCCGGTAGCCCCCCGCCACAGCCCCCACCGCCCCGCCGGGACCGAGCGACGCGCGCGACAGTGAGACTCATACGCACGCGCCGGTGTGACGTGTCCTCGCGTTCCCGCGCACGCGACGCGCCCGCCGTCGTGAGTTTTACGAGATGTACGAGTTTATCTTCTGAGTGGTGAGAACCTACATAAGCGCAATTCGGAGAAAGTATGCGACGAAGAGCATACCTCGTATGCGGGCCTGTGGGATCCGTAACCCCGCGGTCCCTAATGCTTCGAACCATTTTAACAGACGAAATCCCAGAGTCAGTACCCACGATGCGGCGTATCTCTTTGGTGTGAGCCAGCCTGCGGTATTGAAGCTGCTAAAAACAGCCGGACTCCATCCGTACCACTTTCAGCCGGTTCAGCAGTTCCATGACCTAGACCCAGTACCACGTCGAGCCTTATGTGAGTGGCTTCTACATCACCGCGATGCAAACATCTTGTAGACGGATGAGGCATTGTTCACAAGTGAGGGACTGTTTCTTATGGGAAGAACTCAAACGCCGAGATGTACAGGAGGCACAAAGTCTAGAAGACTTAACAATAAAAAATAATAACGCTTTCAGTGAAGTGAAAAGTGACACTAGTGTTTTAAACAAATTAAATGACAATTTAATGAAATGTGCACGTTTATGTCTGGACAGACGTGGACTTCATTTTGAACAAATATTAAAATACATGGTAAGTAATTAGTTAGGTATTTGTTTTGATTAAACATTATTGTAAATACGTAGCTGATTCTAATTTTTTTAAATACGCCTTAACGCAGAAGTACCTATGTAACTTCGGCATAACGTTAATATTTTTTTCTAGGTAACAAATTTGTTTCTCTTTTATTTTTTTGCATTTTGATGGCCTTAACCATAAAAGTATGAAGGGAAAATTGGAATTACTCTTAGAAATCACCTCAGATCATGGCATAAAATCTAGTTCGAATCTAACAAAATGAGCGTTCAGTGACCCGTGTAGATAGGTACCTACGAGTACATGCCTACGGCGGCGTCGAGCGAGCGCTCAGCTGACGCACGGCGCGCGGTGTCCATAAACTAAGTTTTAAAATCTCGATCTTTGATAAGCGATAACTTTATTTTTTAGTATTAGAACATATCAAAATAAAAAATACGTGTTTATTTAAATTACTTAAAGTTTATTTTCACAAAATCTTCGCAGTGGTTTTAAATTATTCCTGTATAAGGACCTACCTCGTAAATATGGTACAGTTCGGAGCCCTCCTCGGGCCAGTAGCGATGGCATAGCTGTTGCCCGTTCTCAGTGAGTCGAGTGAGCATGACCATGACGACACTACCTTGTTCCCACACCATCTGCCAGAAGTCAGGAGCGGTGTGAGCCAGAGGGCCTGCAGCTGCGATGTAAGCTGGGTTGCGAGGATCGTGATCCGTCTGTGAACAAGTTTACGTATTACACATAAATTACATTGAGGGCACGCTATTATTTTTAATATAACAGTGTTACATAGCATTAAATCAGATTTCTAGAACGTTAAATATTTTTGAAAATCAAAGACGTTACATTTTAAGGTCAAGTTGATAGTGAAAGATTAAACGATGCAACTCAATTTCATGATTTACACTAAACTTACACCAGCAGCAGAAACTAAGAGAGCCAATTAATGCATAAAAAAGCAGAATAAACAGGATTAGAACGGGAATAACGATAAAAATTGATTAACACTTATTCATTTAGTATTGGTATAAGTAATTATTAGTATAAGAAAACTTACAATAGTTGAAGCATTGATATAGTCAGAGCCAAGATGATTGGAGAGTGTGTTCAGAGTAACCCTCGAGTGGTCATAAGGCAGAACGTCAGCGTATCGGTTCTTGCCAGTGTTCTCTGGCTTGAGGGCGGCGGTGGTAGCACAAGGTTCGGCCTCATATGCACATAGAGCTCGCCACTCTTGCTCCAAGCGGTCCTTATTGCGAAGATGGTCTTCCATGTAAGCCTTTACAAAAGAGAACATTCTTTCATAAAATTCTACAAGTTATTGTGGAATGCAATAAAAGAAATAAAAAATAAATAAATAAAAATAACTACTTACCAAAACCATGTGACCAGTTGAAATATCCATGTTAGTTAAGGCGGGCTCTTCACTCCTGAAATGGAAAGCCGTTAAAACTTTTAAATTAATTTACATAGTTACGAAAGTATAACGATAGTACGAAATGATCAATTCAACAATTTTATCTAAATTGTAGTGTAAATACGGGTTGTATTTGAAGAGTCAAAACAACTTCAAAAATTATCGATATGTTTGAAATGTCTTGAAGTGGAGCTGAGAGTTTTATTTTAGGAAGTATAATTGTCTACCAGCAAACTTTACTTACAGATAAAACTTTAAGACGTATAATTCGCAGGGCAGAACTAGCCACTATACATTCCACATCTTCAATCATGTAACTAATGACCACCTAAAATAACTTCTAAACGTACGCTAGCAAAACTACTTATTACTAAGTGAATGTCAGGAAAATTAGATGAAATGTTCCTAAAAGAAAATTAATACAGAAATAATATATAGAAAGAGAAGAATGAACAGTACGACGAATAAGGAACTTTTTTAAGCATGAGATCTAGTTGCATATCAGCGAACATTTTTAAAATAACTTGTAACTAACTATTGACAAACAGAACAAAGAACACTGACCACGATGATGTACTAGACCTCGTTGACGGCGAGTTGGCATCAGGCTCCCGGGAGAGAGAAGTGATTCGCTGAGGGGGATCGGTTGAATGTGGCGGTGCCGCTGCCGTCTGCTGACCAGACCATTTACCCGACATACGGGCACGGCACAACTCCTGCGAAAAGATAAATCATATACTATTTTAAAATCTGCACTTAAGTTTTAAAAGCATTGCATGATACAGAAATACAAAAATATGTAGGCTTGCATTGAAGAAATCGATAACGCAGAATTGAGTACTTATATTTACTTTACAGTTCTCATAGCCTTCTAAATAGTTTAAGTACACTTAAAACCTGATAGTCTCTTGTTGCCTCTGCGTCAATATCTGCTGCGGATGATAGGCCTTGCATTTTCCTCTTAGAATTGAAGTCCTTCTTCAAAAGGACAGCAAACACGACTGCGCCAACGACGAGAACAGACAAACTACCCACTAAGGCTAGTAAGACTGGCAACTCCATACCGAAAACCGTAGTCTCGGGAGAGGCAACATGACGTATTACAGGACGTTTACTCTGTGAAAAACAGTAATTTTCTATAGCAAACACGCTATACTACGTACGTATATTTATTTGCCTATTCGGTCATTTACAGATATAATAATGTTACTCCTCATTTTATAGAGATATTAAAAATAAAATAGTATATGCCTCTTACCCTATCTCCAACACCTGTTGATAATACTTGAGCACCGGTTTCTCGACGCAATTCTTCTTTGATGTCGTCTGTAATAAAATATATTAGAAAAGAGCGTACAGATATGTTACATTTTATTTATTTGGAACTTACCAACACGTCTAGCTACATCAATAGCATTATAGCCTTTAGAATTCTTTTCTACTTTAAACGTAACTTCACCTCGATCAACACTGAAAATCAAAACACAAAATATCTTAATTGGCGTATAAATTTTAATCACTTACGAAACCGAAATCAACTAATTCTGAACTTACCGTGGATTTGTAAAAGTTTGCTTTTCCAAACCAAGCATCTCTTCCAGTTTCGATATAATTGAAACACCCTTATTCCAATCAGTTAAAAACCTAGAAATTAAGAAAGAAATGGTACTTAGGTATAATTATAATTTCATTGCAATCTACAAGTTGCAGAGCGCACAGTATATGTACATAACGCTACTTCAGGTTACAGAATGTCTTTCAGTACCTATTGATTTTGAACTAATTTAATATCAGATTTAAGGTTCAATATATTTAGGAAAACTGATAGTTTCGTGTAACTTGATGTGCTGTTTCGTATAAATTATTTACCTATCATTGAATAGTACGTATGCATAAGAAGGGTCATAATCATAATCATTATGATCGTGATCTGGTTCCGTCCCAACCTTTGGCGAATTCGCTGATCCATGAGCTGAAACACGAAATAAACATTTTCTCTACAATTTCATCTAAAATTTAAGATTAACATCAATGAATGAATTAATTGCATGCAAATATTTTTCTTGTATTATAAAAGAAATATTTTCAAAAACAAATAAAGACATCTAAATTATCTTTCAGCGATTAAATTGAGTATTTTAAGAAGAAGCGCATGTCTGTACATTTAACATTTAGTAATTTTGCGTATGAAAAAATGAATAGGACATGAACGTTCGAATAATTATGCAGAAATAGCCCATCCGATTAAAAAAAATCAATGGCAGTAAACATTTAGAACTAAAACGTTACTTAAAGTAAGAAAAAAGGACTCATGCTTTGTGTTAAAGAAATAAAGTGCTGATTCAGGGAGACATTTAGTGCAGTGTTCTATAAAGACAAAGTGCATTAAAATTTTATTAAGAAAGAAAAGTTGTCGTATCTTTTCAATATAGCATAGTATAATTTCAAAAAATTTGAGGGTACATTTACATTCTAAACAACTATTTCAGGCCGCCGTGACACTAACCTGTCACTGAATTATTGTGGTATAAAATCTTTAACGTTTTCGCGTCCAGGCGCGGCCCGGGCTTTTTAACATCATCTCTTTCCCTACGCATAAATCCCCATTCATAATTAAGCAAATCTTGAAAATCTTCGGGATAAAATTTTGAATTTTCACCTGAAACATCGTCGGTATCTGTATCACCCTCATTCCGATGCGAGTATCGTTTCTTTATCGACCTTCTCAACTTAAAAGGGCCTATGTGATAGAAGAAAAGAAGAAAAATAAAAGAAACTAAATTAAATAATATAACTGAGAAATCAGGAAACGATCATGTTGGGTTCTTTGAAAGAATGAGCGACAATGCAGCAGCATTGCAATTCTATGCTACAAATAAAATCATGAAGCAACATAAATGTTTATCTTTACATGATGTCTGTTTCTTGAGAACACTTAAATAACCTTACCCTGCAAATCATCCGCCTTTAGCGGTCCACCTTCAGCGTATAATGCTCCTTGTGGCTTTAATTTAGAATCGATTATGTCTCGCCAGTAATTCATTAGATATTCCATATTTTTAGAATGTTTACCATCAGGACCCACAGAACTACCGGCTGTTAAGAATATTTTGAAATAATTACAAAGTGTTGAAATTGAATACAAAAAAATAAATATTCACATGCAACATTTAAATATATTAATTAACTGTATTTACCTTTCATATGGTAAGGATCTAGTTCTCCACTGCCAGTGTCGAAGGGTATCTCTTCCAAGCCATCCTCATCTATATATATTCTTTGCTCTGGAATATCTACATTCTCATATTCGAATGGGAAATTTTTCTCTGCAAAACTCTGCTTATATTTTTCTAAAGCGTTCGAACGAATTTCTGCATCTAATGGTGAAAATCTATTTCCAGTGATGTATTCGGCCGTGTAAGGCGGTGGTCTTATTTTAATCTTACGAAAATGAGCACCTAATCGTTCTTCATCGGAAAATGTCTCCGGAGTCTTATCCTTACTTTTGTCAGATAGTGATTTTTTGTCATTGCGAATCATAGCATTAGGGGTTTCGTTGTCGCTATCTAAAGCTTTAGCTTTCTCAGCTTTAATCCTTTCTCGAAATCCTTCAAAAGGTAATTTTTCTGGTAATTCTTCACCTGCATTCATTAACATTAAATCACGTAATTTATCGCTTGGGTTTTCATCGCTTAATATTGATTCGTCATTTTTATCTAAAAAATTAATTACGTCCATTTTCATTTTTTACTCGATATTGAAAAGTTCTTCTTATATTGTTCTGTAATACATACCTTTAGCCATGAAATATGCGATAGGGTCTTCATCAGGCGATAACGGAGGGCTGTAAACTTCGTTAGCATAATCCGAGTCAGCTATTACCGAATTAGGAGTAAAACGGACAAAAGCTGTCTCATCAGGTTCAATCTAAAAGAAATTAGAAATAATAGGTAATCGTTCCAACCCAAAAAAATGACGTGTAATAATGCCTAAAATACAACTTACGTCATCATCTTCTTCATTAATCCCGTCGGTACCAAGCTTTGGATCTGCGAAATGATCACAGATCTTTGTGTTCACATGGTCTGGGTCTCTGTAAAGGTATTATGCTTAAGTTATAAGCTGGCCAAATATAAATTGAATCTAGAAACTGAGAAATGGAAATAAACGTAACGCACAGAAATACATTTATAAAAGAAAATATATTAATAACATTATTTATAAACAAGAAATAAAATTATGTCGCTGTGCCATATTGAAAATCTTTAAACATTATTTTTTAAAACAGCTTCGTCTTTATAAAGAATTTTTCCGACGTAAAAATCATTACCATTAAAATTCCTGTTCAAAATCGTTCCAAAAAAGTTGTCTTAAAAGTCTAATAAAATCTCGTCTCTGCATCTTAGGTTATTCAGGGTCAAAGGTCACAACATGTTTTTATTTAATTATGAGTTAAGCTTACGCTGTTGCAAGCAGAAGTAATTGTGTCGATTTCGTTTGACTCAATTATAGCTTTCATAGACAGGTCATGTGAGTTATACTCAAATAAACATTAGTGTTTTGATTAAGTTTAGAAAGGAGTAAAACAGAATTGGCACCATTGTAACCTACGAGCTAAATTACTAGTTAATTAGTAACTTTCAGTCAATCCACCATTATATATTGTGTCAAAAGAATGTAGATTCATGTCAATATTATATGTGAATATATATAATGAATTAAATACGTTGTTGTAGTTTTCTGACTTATATTATGACTGGCTAAATTAAAAACATACTCTATAATACTCGTAAATAAGAATATTAACCTATTCATTGATAATCAATTAATACGTTTAAGATATGGCTAGAGTTATAGCTACATGAGTTAGGCGATCGCATCCCTGGAACTCTTTAAAAACATATGTTGGAGGTCCACCTAAATTTTTATAATATTTCGACAACTTATCGGAGTTGTAGTAAAATATGTACGTAATTCATTTATTAATAACCAATACACATAAGCTAGGGTTTACTTTATACGGCCCCGTCTAAATATCTGGTTGAATTGCAAAATGTGCGAACTAGTGCATTAGGACATGATAAAAAACTTACAAGTTCTGTCGCAATGTGTACAGCATGGACTGCAGCACACACTGGGTATAAGCATGTTCCCAGCGGTAACCAAGGGACGCCAGCCGTTGCAACTCTCCCTCAAACCACTGCAACTGGTCCGAGTTCATGTCATACCTGACAGTTACAGTTAGAAATATTTAGGTAGGCGGATTTACTCTAAAGCAGGCCCGAACCTAGGGCGGCCAGATATTAAGGGCGGCAAAAGCGTAATGGCATAAAATATTGTATGCCAGAAGGGGAATTATGAAATACCGGGTCTGTATTTTCACTTGTTTGTCCCTAACAAATTCTTAAATTGATGCAGATATATTAAGCTGAGATAAGAATGGAATTAAAACAGCTGTCACTTCAAATACATTTTATAATATTTTCATGGAATAATGACTGTTATTTTTCATGGGCACATTGAGCAACAGATGACAGAAAAAAGAAATAATATTATTCATGTCATTATAAACACAATTTTTTTAAATCTATTTCAATAAACATTGTCAACAAAGTATATTCGTATGCAGTGTCTAAAGAATAATAAGCCTTCAAATCCGCCTCTGGGTTCATTTTATATGATTACACCCATTTGTACAAAAAACCATAGCTTAATGTCATTATTAAACCTTAATGGACGTTTCTGCAACTGGGTGTTACCTCAGTAAAGTAAAGATCAGTAATGCAACTAATACTACTTGATCAAATCTTACAATATTCTTACTGCAAGGGCACAAGCCATCCCCATGGATTGGAGCGTGCGAAAGCTGCTTAAGTTCCGCATCGCAGACCAAACTTTATACTTATAATAAGGTACTAAAGACAGTAGCTCGATAGCGTAGTGGATAAACGCAGCGACCCACGATAATTGTTGTTAAGCAACTTTTACGAGGGTCGGTCATGAGATGGGTGATCAAAAAATTATTCTAGCTACTCCGTGCTATGGAAGGCACCTTGAACCGTTGGTCCCGGCCGCATTTTGCAATGGTTAATACTGCTATATATGGTAATGGGCCTATGTGGAAGGCTATTGCCCATTCTCCTCCTGCTTTACTATCCATTAGAAAAGCCCGAGCCCTTCAGTGAGGACTTAAAAGGGCTGATGATGATGATGAACGTACTAAATAAATACTTTATTCTTCTTTACTAAGAGAGTCAATCAGTAAAAATAATCACTAATAGCGTAACATTTAAAACATAAATGAAAAAGGTAACCATTGATAATAATTACCATCAATTCTATAAAACTTTTATTTTATCAAAGAATAATAATATAATAAAAAGAATGACATGAATTTAAATAGAATAATTCCACACTCCCTCCCTCTCTCCTACTCAATAAACGTATCAATGTAAGCGTAATTTAAAAAAAAAATCTAAACTCACTTGTACAAAGCACCTTCGTCCGGCGCATCGTAGAGCTGGATGCACCTCCCGAAGGCATAATCTAATAATTAATGTAGGCATTAAATAATGTCCAATAAACATTATTAATCACACCCTGTTCCTATCTATATCTTAACCTAAAAATCGACCTACCATCGTAACACCACTCCACGCCTTTCACGCAAAGTGAAGCGCCGAATAAGCAACCTGTAAGAAAAAAAGGAGTCATTAAAACAGGTACTCATAATTCACGGTCGCCGAAAAGAAATAAAATGATGAGAAAAATTAGGAACAATGTATTGACCGTGAGAGTGAATTTCGAGATAAAGATTAAATCAAGCCAGGAGTCGTCACCACCTATGCTTTGGTGGGTAGATTGAAGCGGCAGAATTTGAATGAATGCATTTAATATATTGTATTTATATTTATGTATGTTTCTATGTACCTATATTATATTGTAAGTATCTTAAAGTATATAAATATATATTTATTAGCTTATCTAGTTTAGCATATTCTCGTGCACCTTACCACGTATTCTTCTCCACATTACCCTAAGGTTGACTAGCGGAAAATGTCGCAGGCGTTAAGTCCGCCTATGTACGATTGTGCATAAAGAATAAATAAATAATAACGTACTTTAGCCTTTGTGTTCGTAAACAGTTTAGATTCAGATTACTATGTCAAAATTGGTTGGATGCATCTGTGTGAGCGCAATATCAATATCTTTACATCAATCACTGTGATTGATGAAAATGTGGCCTCTAAAAAATATACAAAATATATCACAAAATCATGTCGATGCGCACTTATTATATAAGTGTGAATTTAGTAGATGAAATTTTGGTTTACAAATAATATTATCGTTACTTTTTTTTTAATTCCCAAACTTTAAAATTGGATCATATTGTCCATTTTCGTACTTCATTATTTAAGAGTTTTACATAATAAATAATTGTGGTAAAAGTTGCTTCACTGTGTATAGTACAAAATAAAAGATCTAACAAAACAGAAATACAATAAACGTTCAAAGAAATTCAAGCTTTAGAATGACAAATGACGATTAAATTTTATTAAAAAAATATTAGATGCCTACATACATATTTTTTTGCTTCAATTTAACCAAAAATAGCTTAGATAAGGCATTAAAGTTGAGGAATGAGGGATGTAGTGATCCTCATCACAGTTTTGTAGAAAATGTACAAAAGCGTGACGTCGTGAGATATTTTAACTCAATATATAAAATATTGGTTACACAAAATTTTTGAAAATACGTGTTAAATATTCTCTATAAATCTACCAGATGGACTGACAAAAACAATTGAATCCCTAATAGCACTAGTATTGGTTGAAGTATACTAACAGTCTAAGAAGAAACTTCAAACATTTGGGTCAATGTCTGTTTTTTTTCCCTGAAGGAACAAAGTGGTGCGTGTAAGTTTTACGCTATCTAATTTGTATGTAGATTTGCTGGGCGTACTTTTGTGGTTTTCATGCTAAAATCTTAATGCGCTTACGATCACAGATGAATTGTGATCGCAAAAAAACTCACACTCAGCTCTCAGACTATATCATTACCTATGTTCCCATCGGCGTGCGAGGGCGCCAGCGAACTGATAAACGCCAGCGCCCACAGAGCCTGCCGCCATTGGACGCGGCACATTACATCTGGAATCACAAATATAACATCATCATCTGCCTATTAATGTCCCCACTGCTTGGGCTCAGGCCTTCCCTGTGGACGGAAATGAATCAAATTCATCAGGGAGAATGGTCCATGACCTACCACGCGGGCCCAGAAAGGATTGGTGCGTGAATGTTAACGCTTGCAGATACAGCCGGGACTAAAGTTTTGGTCATCCATCCCATGACCGGCCTTTGTGGAAGTTGCTTAACAACCATATCGTAGACCGAGCGCGCTAACCACTGCGCCATCGAGCTCCTCAGAATAGCATACTTAACCATCCATAAGGAAGGCCTGAGCCCCTGCAGTGGGGACGGAAAAGGGCTGGTGATGATTATGATGAAATACAACTTAACGGTAAATAAACAACTTAAATGATTAATGCTACGAAATATGCTACGACGTAGAACCGTAGTAATCTTTAGTTTTTTAAATTTTGCGATCAAAAACTAGTCTATTTTGATTAAAGCGTTATTTTTAATACACATGTCAGCTTATAGTCGTTGAAAATTTGCCTTTTTAGAACAAGTATTTTTCTTATCAAAAATATTTAAAAAGTCCACTTTGTCCCTGGGACTCGAACCCACGACCTTTCGCAATCCGAGCGACTGCTCTAACCACTGAGCTACCCAGGACCTAACGGGTCATTTTTAAGCATTTTGCAATAATAATATTTTTCAGTAAGTATAGCATTCTAAGTGCAAAATTAATAATTCATTAAAGTATTTTTAGTGAGAAACAGATTACATATTTTGTTATAAATAAATAAAAAAAGTATAATAAAAAAAAGTTTTTTGGAAACAAGCTTGTGTTAGTGCGCACTAAAACACTAACAAAAGCTTATGATGCTTTTTAAGACAATTACTGTTAGAGAAAATTTTGATTATAAGAACCTTAACATTAACATTATGAATTTGTCTTGCATATTATTATTATGAGCACAAAAATAAAACCTCATATTTAAAAACTTTTTTTAATATCTTTTTTTAGTTTTACTTTTTATTTTTGTCCAATTCAATACATTTCTGACATACTCGCAACAACTGTATCGCGAGGTGTTTTTTCTGTAATTATGTATATGTTGTTGTTCTCATAAAGACGGATCTAAAGAGCCCAAACACGATGCGGTTGCGTTATTTCATTGCTAAGTTCTCCATAATATTGTCATCTGACTTATATTTCTATGCAAAATTTCAAATCTATCGGACATTGTGAAGTGGATCAAATTTGAGTTCCAAGATTTGCGCACTAACATACATACAAGGCAAGTTATCTAAAAACTTGTAAAAATACTTATCCAGTCCTCATTATGGAAACCCCTTGAGAATATACTCTTTAACTTATGTACTCTTTTTGATAAGTCGCCTCAAAAGAAATAACCAATTACTATTTCAAAATATTGAGAATTCAATTTTATAAACTTAGCTTTACTATAAACTTATTTATTCATTGTAACATAACAATAAAAAAAAAAAAGAAAAATTAACACGGTAGTAACTTATAAGTATAGACTATATTTTAAGAAATTCATATTTCGAAGAAATTACTCGTGTTTCATTTCTCATTTATACGTTTCCGCTAGTTTCACACCCACGATTTTTATTTTTATATAATTCTAGTATATTAATAATAAAATTCACTGGCAACAATGACTCCTATAGTACTTATGGAAATGGAATATTTTGATCTGACGATTGTATGTAAGTTCAGCTTAGTTTATTCGAAACTTTACTATATATGTGATTCGGTGACACAAAGAACGTAAATAAATATATACGAGTAATAATAGGCTAGTTGATAACTTTTTGAAAAATAATATAGAAGTAGCAGCATATCTGCGATATTATAATTTTGGTGATATGGTGATGTGTTTGTGGACCTACTGCTAGTAGGCCGAAAACGCTCCATAGAAATTCAAAGCACTAAGTGACGTCATACGGTCCTGCGTTAGTGAAAAACGTATGGGCGTCTGGGTAATCATTGTAATATCTTTGTTATTCGTGCGTTTATGTTAATAGCTGTCATAATAAAAGTTGCAAAGTTTATGTAACTAATGCCTTAAGTATTTTATTTAATTTTAGTAGTTTTGTTTCCTACTTTATTTAGCAAATTAGTGTCATTAAATTTATTTTGTAAAAAATTTATAAGTTAAAATGGTTCATATATTTCGAACATATAATAGAAACCTACATTTTCACTTGTAGGGCACAAGCCTAATATAGTGTTGATATCGATATTACGCGAAAGCCCAAAAAGGAGTGCTTCGGTTTAGGGTTTATGTATGTATGATAACATAATTCTGAAAAACAACGGTTGCGAAGAGCACACTCACTGTTAACCAAGTACCTATGTACTAAATAACTCAAATGTCTGATGATCAAAGATAAAAGTTATACATAGTCCAATAATAACACGTGAATTGGTTCATAAATTATTTAGATAAGAATTACAAGCCTTTGAAACTGTTACCTACGTATAAATAGATAGACTAACTGTTTTCCGGCGACTTCGCGCTTATATTGTAGCCTTTGTCAACCGCGGATGCGAAGTACCTAACTTCCCCTAGGTGAAAGAATTTTCAAATCAGTCTAGTAGTTTCGGAGCATGTTGGATGCAAAGAAACAATAAAATCTTTCCTCTTTATAATATTAGTCTAGATAGCTATATTCCATCTCTTGAAGAATAAATTATGTAAATGTGCAATGCAAAATATTACTATTGGCTTAAAGAAAGGAATTAAGTAATACCTAAGCTCAATATCTGACGATTTCTCCACTTTTATAGAAATATTCTTACAAATTTTTGAACACATTCCGAGTCGACTTATTGACGACTATAAACTGAAACTTAAACTGGGGGGGTCTATTAATTTATAGTAAAAATAAATAAATATAGTGTTGATAACGATTGATTAGCTTTGCTCTTTTAATTGCCTGATAAAATCAGGCAATGCAATCATGTACTTAGATGATATAAAAATTGGTTTCAGTAAACAGGCAATATTTAAATTATTTGAAATCTGAATTAAAATATTAATGTGCCAGTTACAGTGGATCTTTTTTGTTTACCAAAATTGTGTTTTTTGGGTTGGTATCTTTTGGGCTAATGTATTTTTAGTTATTTATGTAGCTAAACGTTTTCATATCACCTTGATATTTATATAACCTATAAAATGGATCAGGTTTGCAAAACTACGTCCATATAGTACTAGTCCGTGAGTTTGATTAAGCGAGGAAAATACCGTTGACTGCTTCTATCAATCGATAGTTAGCTAAACTAAAATAGAACCGGCATTGTATCGTTTGTCACTTAGTAGAATATGAAAACCACTAATAGCTGCAGTCTAGTTTGGTTTCGTTCCGTTTTCGATTCGATTTAAACAAAATGTATTTGGTAGAATTGGGCCCCTAATGTAATAACCGTCTAAATTAAGAAAGTGAATGTATTTATAAGACTATTTTGCAATTATTCACGCATTGTCTATCCCAACTTCATCTGCTTTTGACACTCCTACAGCAGATTGAATGCTTACAAATTAGACGTCTAGTCCATTAATGAACAGACATTATGCGATTCGCTTTCAGGGTATTTGATTTCGAACTGGGATCTTCTGGTTAAGGTTTTTTTATGGGATGGGCTGTTTGCATAATTAACTGAGCTTAGTTTGTTTGGAATAATGCAGTGACTTTACTCTTTTATTTACAATCTTTCAACGATTTCAGGTGTATATTTATTATGTTACTTGATCATTCGTTTCAAAAGCGATTGCGGCTTTAAAAGTTATATAATCCCTTAAACCGCTATCGCAACCGCTATATCTTTAAAAGGTATCACAACAGATTTTAAATTAGTTATTAGCCCACTGAAAATGATAATCTCAGTCTATATTAACTGACCCTGGATTTATTTGTATTTATAATCATAAACTTTTGCTATTTTCCTTTAATTTATAGGCGGTAAAGTCGGCCGCCCGTGACAAGAAAGACCCTGAACCCCAAGTCCCTGATCCAACAATAACACAATAGAAATATATTAAGGTTTATCCCTAGAAACATGCTTTCCGAATTAAAGACGTCGGTTTCTTACATTAAGCTTACCTACTGAAAGTCGATACACAATGTAATAATTACATTTACTTAGCTGTGTTCGTGAAGGTTGTTCTTGCACGGTACATTTACCCGTTGAATTTTACTACGATTATATTTACTTATTGTGCTTTACAATAAACATTTGAGTATTGAGTATATTTAAAAAAAAACTGAATGAAAAAGGATCTATAGATATCAAATTTACTTATTGTCATTTGCGATAAACATTTGAGTATTGAGTTGAGTATTTTGAAAAAACAAACTGAATGAAAACGGATCGATAGACATCAAAATTATTTTTAGCTAACAGCCAGTTGCACAAACGTTCATTAAAATTTTCATTAGTTTAAAGCGACATTACCTATACAAATTTGACATTCATTAGTGCTTAAAGGCGTCATTAAACCTTAATGGACGTTTGTGCAACTGACCATAAGTATATCACATATATACGTATTATATTAAGTAGCTGAAAGGCTTGTATTATGGAAATCTTAAACAACGAAGCTACCTCCACACACTCTGAGATATAATATAATTGTACAATTCCTACCCATCATTACTACTGGGAATCGAACCCTTGACCTCAGGGATGGCAGCCACTCAGATCACGCAGCAATTTATTATGTAATATTTGGGTCATTTAAAAGAAAAAGAAAACTATAAATTGGTAAATTTAAAAAGATGATTTCTTTAGATGAAATTTTGTTCTAATTATTATATTTCATCAATTTTACATTAACAATGCTATTTTCTATAAGAATATTTTTGAGTATTAGGAATAAAAAATTGTTCACATATAATAATTGCTGTTTTTTTTTACTAAAAATTTATAATGGAACGGAGGTTTTAGCTATAGATACATGATACTTTCTTTATCTACATTTAAGTACTGC